ACTAACAATCAAATCATTCAAATTATTATTATTATTATTATTATTATTATTATTATTATTATTATTATTATTATTATTATTTACTACGTCATTATTCACCATCCTTTATTCCTACTCTGTCTATACTTGTTTTTTCGACTTATGCAGCAGCTTGTCTATGGTGGAAATCCGACTGTATCTAAACGTTCTCGAGTCACTGTCCGGTTGAAAATTGTATGTTACCACCGAATATGAGTACTGAAGCAGTTTTTCTGAAACCACGTGCTCCATTCAAACTGGCTGCCTTCAACGTTCGCACACTTATGCAGGTTGGACAACAGATAGGGCTGGCTATGTCTTTGGAAAGTCTTCATATCGATGTTTTCTGTCTATCCGAGACCCGTATTCAAGACTCTGGTGAAGTACTACAAATTCGCTCTCCATCTGTCGCTTCGAAAAGCTTGTTTTACGTGCGCTTATCCGGGTCCCTGTGACATCTTCGTCTGGTCTTGCTGGCGTTGGTGTCGCACTAAGCGCTAGAGCTGAGGTAGCACTAATCGATTGGATCCCCATTAACAGTCGGTTATGTGCTGTTAGATTAGAAAGTTCCATCAAAGTGAGAAGAAATCGGCGTGAGAAACGATGTCTTTCCGTCATCTCCGCCTATGCCCCGACAGATTGCAGCCCGGATGCAATCAAAGATGAGTTTTACCACCATTTATCTGTTCTTCTCCAGAAAGTGCGTTCGACAGATATTGTAGTACTAGCCAGAGACTTGAATGCTCAGGTCGGGCGTCTAGGCACAGAAGAGAGTCGTTTAGTTGGTCGATGGGGACTTGTTGGTCGCATGACAGATAACGGGAACCGTCTACTGCAACGGTGCACAGGCCACAACCTGTTTCTGGTTAGCACTAACTTTCGGCACAGTCACCGCCGATATGCCACCTGGCGTCCTCCCTCTGCATCTCAAGCCTGGACTCAGATGCCAATCACTAACATCCATCGACGTCGATGGACGATGGACAGAATTTTTCGAAGGGCAGTTCAACTGGCCTGCTGCTCCGGCAACATCGGTCAGACTATCCTGCTCTCCATGACCGGTGACGACTGATCCACCAAATGAGGCGGAAGTCCGCAAGGAACTCCAACTCTTGAAGCGCTAAAAATCACCTGGTGACTTTCTGACTAAGTAACTGACGACGTTGTTTACAAAGTTTTGGGAGCTCGAGAGTGTACCAACGTCATAGAATGAGTCGATAGTTGCCCCTATCTTTAAAAAGGGTTCACGTCGTTCCTGTAACAACTATCGGGGGATAAGTCTACTTCCGATTATGTCCAAGCTATTGGCTTCCGTCATACTTCGTAGGTTGTTCAAAACCCGAGAAAGATTGACTCGTGAGGAGCAGGCTGGGTTTCGTTCTGGTTGAGGATGTATTGACTATACCTTCACCCTCCGCCAAATGTTAGAACACCGCCATACTTATCAAAGGCCAACAATCGTAGTGTTTCTTGGCATTAGGGCTGCCTTCGATTCGTTGGATAGGACTGTTCTCTGGGATTATCTATTGAAGAAGGGTGTGTCTGAGAAGTTTATTAACATCCTAAAAGCCCTATATGCAAACACCTCAGGCAGAGTGAGGGCATACAACCACCTCTCTCCATTGTTCCATTCGAGCAGTGGGGTTAGGCACGGTTGCCCAATCTCATCATTCCTCTTCAACTTTGCCATCGATGACATTCTGGAAACAGCTCTGATGAATGTAAGTAATGGCGGTGTAGATCTGTTGCCTGGAGAAAGACTTCTCGACCTTGAGTATGCGGATGATATTGTCTTACTGTGCGATAATACCCGAGGCATGCAATCCGCACTTAATCAGTTGGCAATCAGTGTCCGTAGGTACGGTATGTGCTTTGCACCTTCGAAGTGCGAAGTACTTCTACAAGACTGGCAGGATTCTAATCCTGTACTCACCCTGGATGGTGAGCAGATAGAAGTAGTCGAGAAGTTCGTGTATCTAGGTAGCTGCATAAGTGCTGGTGGTGGCGTGCGTGATGAGACCGATTCACGTATAGTGAAAGACAGCGGCTTATGCCAATCTGGGCCATCTTTGGCGCCTTCGTGATGCTAGTCTGGCTGTAAAAGGTCGGATCTACAACACGTCAGTGAGAGCAGTTTTGCTCTATGCTTGTGAAACCTGGCCTCTCCGAGTTGAGGACGTTAGAAGACTCTCTGTGTTCGATCATCGTTGTCTCCGAAGGATTGCTGACATCCAGTGGCAACACCATGTTAGTAATACAGAGGTTCAGCATTGTGTGTTCGGGCACAAAGACGATAATGCATTCGGTGTCACCATCTTGAAACACCGACTTCGGTGGCTTGGACATGTTCTACGAATGTCGTCCCAGAGAATTCCACTTTGTGCATTATTTGCCGACACCGGGATTGGTTGGAAAAAGCGGAGAGGTGGTCAGTGTATGACATGGTGTCGTGGCATGAAAGAAAGCTGCAAAGGACTGGCTTGTGTTGGTCCTTCACGACTCCCTGGTTGGGGTCCGAGAGATGGTGCTACACAATGGTTAGAGACGTTATCAGATATGGCTCAGAATAGAAGCCAGTGGCGATCCTACTGTAACCTTCTTTTACTTTCTTCGTAAAAAGTGGTTGTATCTTCCTTAACTGAAAGATTTCTTCTGATTGTACCTTTCCGTTCCCCCATTATTACTATTATTATTAATACACTACCTTACACCAATCTCTTCGTTATCGTTCTCATTTTTTTAACGCTCCTTAACTTTTTTATTTCTCCTTCTCTTTAAATTCTCATTGTTTTGTGTGGCGCATATATATTTGGCGCACTCTTGTACCAATATTTATGTGTTCGAATAAATAAATAATCGTCACCTATAGAAGCCAAATAGTTGGTCTGAGGTTGTAACGACCCTAACTTCAGTTTTTGGATTGAACTCAAAGCGAAAAAACAAACATTCGGTTAGATCAAACTACTTTCTTATATATAGTGTACAAGGCGTTTCTGAGGTACTTGTATTAAATTACACCAAAACACATACTCTGCGTCCAATATAAGTATTGCTAATTTAATAGAACAAATTATGTTCAAAATACAAAACACCTCGAACGGTATAGTCTGTACTATACAGTTAATGGTTTCTCTAACACAAACTAGCATGCTAAACAAAACTGATAGTTAACAAACAGAAGTCCGATACCTGGGAATCAATAAGAGTATTCTCAACAAGATGACTTCAGATATCTAGTTGCAGGGACTACAGCAATCTTTCCAAGCTGATAGTCAAAGGTGAACAGTCATACACCAAACCATACCATGATCAATAAATTAGTCAAACACGACCTTACTGTCTGGCAACAGAAAAATTAAGTAACAGAAGGTAAGTCTTTAACCATAGTCGCATAACAAATGCTTAGACGAGGAAGACTGTAGAACATAATATGAGGCTAAAAGATACATAAATGAAGCTTTCGATACACGACAAAGAGAAAAAACAAGTAAGTGACAATGTAAGCGTTTGGGAAATTAACTGGTTTAGATATTACTAACTCGGCATCAGCTTATGTATCCAATTTTTTGTCCTAGAGGATCACATTCACGATTGTGTTGCAAATTTTTATGAAAATCTGTCCGGCAACCACATACTGTTAAGCCAAAGATCACTGTTGCGCACCTACATTTTTCTGGGCACCAAGCAAAATAAGTCTATGTGGACTTTCATTTTACCTTCTTATGTAAAAATAATTCCCATTTGCCATAGGTTTTCTTTAAATATTGATATAGGAAAAATCTTTGCTTACTTCTTCTGAATCTGGAAACTGAAATTACAAACCGCAAAATGAAAAAAAATCCGCTGTTTCAAGTTCTTCAATGTTTTGAGTGGGGAAATGTCACCAGAAACAGCATACACATGAGTACGTTTTCAGTCGTATTGACCACGGTCACCTTGAATATAAATCCATACAAGCTATTCGTTATAAAAAAATAACTAATCTGCAAATTATCAGTATTTTGTATCCATAGTAAGACGATGATAATCAAATATAACTCTTTCCAGACAACTAATACTATTGAACGATAGGTAACAGGGTAGCACTTACGTGAAGTAGGAATGTTTTTCTAAACATCCTTCGAGTGTTGTTGGACGAAAGACCGACAAACAATTATTCTACATGTTGAATGCTGGATAAAATTAACAAATCTGTCAGTGAAATTCCAAACTCTAATCATATAGGATAGTTAGAAGACCTGCAACAAATTTTCAACCCGAACCTATTTTGAAGCGTGACGCTGATTAACATACGGACATAATAAAAGCATGTGATTAGGTCAGAATACGCTAGAAATAAACACCTACTGATTCGAGCTATGTAGGAAAATGCGTGCTTTTTATTTGAGAATTACAATCATCACGAAAGCCTGGAAACTTTATGTGATCGGGTTCAAAATCGATCTTAATGTAACTCATACGTTTACTTATCATTATATTTACTTAGTTTTTATACACTACATTTTTGTTTTCTCATTAATCCTGGTATTATGATTTAAAGTCGTCTGGATTTTCATTGTTACAGATTTCCTTAAGGTATTACACTATGTATGTATCTCTAAATCGTAAACCTAGATTATGGGACGTCGTGGACTGATGAACTACAGAGTCTACATTGTTTATGAATGAATGAATGACGAACTAATTGACTGAGCCAAATTATAAATATTCGCACTATCCGAGATTCTAAGCAATAAAAGTGTTTACTCATTTTATTTTTTAATTAAATATTATCATAAAGTCACAGAACAAATGACTAAAATTTTAAAGTACTCGTCATGAAAAATTTTAGAATTGTTATTGGCTAAATAAATTAATTCGAAACAAAAGGGAGACAAATATAAAGAGCGTCCTTTGAATTCTTCAATTAAAAAAGAGTAGACTGAACTTTGTTTATTCATGTAACTGAATACACAGACAGTAAATTCCAATTAACCTCATATTTATTTGCCTTTACTTTCTTGATGAAGTAAGTCTTGACGTGAGCTCAACACTAGCGCCTGTAAAATAAGAATTAAAGTGTAAAGCTTTTAGATAAAAAGATTCAATTAGAAGACAAATTATACGGCTCATTAATGATTGAACTCCTCTCCAATTTATCAAGCAATAACTAGAATCAGTACATTAAATTTAACTTGATAAGTTGAAACTCATTCTTTAAATCATACTAAGCTAACTCAATTTTCAATTCTGTTTTGAAAATTTATTGATGCAATTAGTAATATTACTACTATGAGCCATATCATTTACATGAGACCTAGTGACACAATCCAGTTGGTCAAAATAAACAAGATTCAGTGACGTCAAGATTTGAGATCTATTGGTTGGAAGATGATCGCCTTAATTAATAAGTCAATGCAGCACACTCAAACTTTCAAGTAATCGGTGTTACTAGGATTCAAAACCAGGTACATGAACATGTACCATAATGGAATGACTACAAATAACTTCTACTTCAAGAGTAATTTCATAACAATATCACGTACGTGAAACATAATATCTGTTTATCGACCCCCAATAACAGATAGTTAGTACAAGTTTAAATGAGAAAATAACAACAACTAAAATAGATAACACCTTATCCGACATATTCTCGAACTGTATCTTACACTTTCGAATTTATATAACTGTGTGTTGACAAAGGTTGACTATCCAAGTGATAAGTCATGCTGATTGAACACTATATTCGGTTCCTAAACTATTCTTGTAACCCCCAAGCTAGAACTACACAGCGACCTGAGCACGAGAGAAAAGGTGCAAAATATGCGAGAGGCACTTTACCCCAAAGGTTCGTTCTAGTACAGAAAACATAGGGTTTTTATAATATTTTAGATGTCCCTGAGTTTCCCGAAGATTCTGGAATCCAATCAGAAACTCCACACGTGACTTCATTTTATTGATGTTTCTGGTTAAACTACAGGTGAACGCTGATTGGATAAAATGCTTCTTGTGTTTTCCTGATCCTTCCCTGTCTTTTGCAAAAAGTTCTCTGGATCAACCCAACACCTCCTCCCCTTCCAAAAAATAAGACCTCTTCTTCGGGTCTACTTGCAGTTTGATAACTGATTTTCTGCAGCGTCCGGACTTTCTTAGTATCCAGCGTCTATGAGCGTATGTTAAGGTTCCTGTCATTGGAGTATCTGTACTTATATCTAACGGAAGCCTCACATGATTATCTACCGTGTCTAGAGTCCTTTTCTCTCTGTGTATTTGATTAATGTGTCTAATCCAAACTCCGAAAGTCCCAAGCACTTTGTATAGAACATTTCCTATTCCCTTCTCAACGACTCCCGGTTCCCAACGATTTTTCCCAATGTTTGACTTGACGAGCACTTTATCACCGACGTTAGAACTCCTGATATTCTGGTTTTGTCTGCATCCATCCATTGGTTTAGGTGGTAACATGACGTCAAACATCGCTTCAGCAGAGGATTTCCTATCTGGGACGAAAGGGTTACGTTTAGTTTTATAAGCTGTTAAGAATTTCGTAATTACCTGACTTGTCCCCTCTCCTTCCCCTTTCAGTAGTGCTCTTTTGAATGTGTCCTTCCCAACTTTCGACGTACCGATGTTGTTGCAGATCTAGTTTATGGGGCGGTCTGTTAACTTCAACCTTTCTATCCAACCAAGCCCCAATAAGTCGAGTGATGGACAATTTGTTTGAAAAATTACACCCTTCTCCGTAAACTCTTTGACTGTGACTTCACAATGAATCTCACCAGGGACGTTTAGAATCTCCCCAGATGCACTATGTGCTGATTGATGAGTTGAATATATTCTCGGTTTCTCAATTTTCTCCCACGTTCTCCTGCTTATAATGTTATATCGGAGGCTGTGTCTAACTGTAGGCGAGCATAATACCCATTAATCTTGAGAGAAACATACTTTCTACGGTTATGGGAGCCGGCTTCGTGAAGAGCTACTGTTACTTTAGCTGTTTGTGGCTTGAATCTTTTAGAATACACTTTCTGTTGACGGCGTTTCCGGGTTTAGCAATGACTTTCTTTGTGCCTTTTTCTGGAGCACAGTACATAGTTTTTATTGATGCAAATACATTTTACGTTTAGTTATAGCCTTTGTATATTTAACAGGGACCAATTGTTCAACATCTGTCAGTATGTATTGCGTTCATGTCTGGCAGATGATACTGACTGAATCTTATATGGTAATATTGAATAGTTCAAAACATACTTTTCAGAATTTTTAGACAAAACAAAATTAGGTAAATTACTTAACATTGTTATATAAAATGAAACGTCACTAATATCTGATCAAGTGACACAAAGAAGATAAGTCTGTGAGAGAAAACCAAAGTACCTTATTCGCTTCAATAGTTTTTCTCCAGTCACGAGCACCAATCAATCTCACAGCTTCTAATAAGAGTTTTCTAACTCGACCAACACTTTTATTTAACTGTTCCAAGACCATGTCAACACAGACCTGGTAAAAACAAAATAATACATCAAAAATGAGTTTGTTGGTATCAATGCCAAGGTTGGACTTGATAGTTTCAAAAAAATGGTATTATTTATTTATATATTTGAACACATAAATATTGGTACAAGAGTGCGCCAAATATATATGCGCCACACAAAACAATGAGAATTTAAAGAGAAGGAAAAATAAAAAAGGTAAGGAGCGTTAAAAAAATGAGAACGATAACGAAGAGATTGGTGTAAGTTAGTGTATTAATAATAATAGTAATAATGGGGGAACGGAAAGGTACAATCAGAAGAAATCTTTCAGTTAAGGAAGATACAACCACTTTTTACGAAGAAAGTAAAAGAAGGTTACAGTAGGATCGCCACTGGCTTCTATTCTGAGCCATATCTGATAACGTCTCTAACCATTGTGTAGCACCATCTCTCGGACCCCAACCAGGGAGTCGTGAAGGACCAACACAAGCCAGTCCTTTGCAGCTTTCTTTCATGCCACGACACCATGTCATACACTGACCACCTCTCCGCTTTTTCCAACCAATCCCGGTGTCGGCAAATAATGCACAAAGTGGAATTCTCTGGGACGACATTCGTAGAACATGTCCAAGCCACCGAAGTCGGTGTTTCAAGATGGTGACACCGAATGCATTATCGTCTTTGTGCCCGAACACACAATGCTGAACCTCTGTATTACTAACATGGTGTTGCCACTGGATGTCAGCAATCCTTCGGAGACAACGATGATCGAACACAGAGAGTCTTCTAACGTCCTCAACTCGGAGAGGCCAGGTTTCACAAGCATAGAGCAAAACTGCTCTCACTGACGTGTTGTAGATCCGACCTTTTACAGCCAGACTAGCATCACGAAGGCGCCAAAGATGGCCCAGATTGGCATAAGCCGCTGTCTTTCACTATACGTGAATCGGTCTCATCACGCACGCCACCACCAGCACTTATGCAGCTACCCAGATACACGAACTTCTCGACTACTTCTATCTGCTCACCATCCAGGGTGAGTACAGGATTAGAATCCTGCCAGTCTTGTAGAAGTACTTCGCACTTCGAAGGTGCAAAGCACATACCGTACCTACGGACACTGATTGCCAACTGATTAAGTGCGGATTGCATGCCTCGGGTATTATCGCACAGTAAGACAATATCATCCGCATACTCAAGGTCGAGAAGTCTTTCTCCAGGCAACAGATCTACACCGCCATTACTTACATTCATCAGAGCTGTTTCCAGAATGTCATCGATGGCAAAGTTGAAGAGGAATGATGAGATTGGGCAACCGTGCCTAACCCCACTGCTCGAATGGAACAATGGAGAGAGGTGGTTGTATGCCCTCACTCTGCCTGAGGTGTTTGCATATAGGGCTTTTAGGATGTTAATAAACTTCTCAGACACACCCTTCTTCAATAGATAATCCCAGAGAACAGTCCTATCCAACGAATCGAAGGCAGCCCTAATGCCAAGAAACACTACGATTGTTGGCCTTTGATAAGTATGGCGGTGTTCTAACATTTGGCGGAGGGTGAAGATATAGTCAATACATCCTCAACCAGAACGAAACCCAGCCTGCTCCTCACGAGTCAATCTTTCTCGGGTTTTGAACAACCTACGAAGTATGACGGAAGCCAATAGCTTGGACATAATCGGAAGTAGACTTATCCCCCGATAGTTGTTACAGGAACGACGTGAACCCTTTTTAAAGATAGGGGCAACTATCGACTCATTCTATGACGTTGGTACACTCTCGAGCTCCCAAAACTTTGTAAACAACGTCGTCAGTTACTTAGTCAGAAAGTCACCAGGTGATTTTTAGCGCTTCAAGAGTTGGAGTTCCTTGCGGACTTCCGCCTCATTTGGTGGATCAGTCGTCACCGGTCATGGAGAGCAGGATAGTCTGACCGATGTTGCCGGAGCAGCAGGCCAGTTGAACTGCCCTTCGAAAAATTCTGTCCATCGTCCATCGACGTCGATGGATGTTAGTGATTGGCATCTGAGTCCAGGCTTGAGATGCAGAGGGAGGACGCCAGGTGGCATATCGGCGGTGACTGTGCCGAAAGTTAGTGCTAACCAGAAACAGGTTGTGGCCTGTGCACCGTTGCAGTAGACGGTTCCCGTTATCTGTCATGCGACCAACAAGTCCCCATCGACCAACTAAACGACTCTCTTCTGTGCCTAGACGCCCGACCTGAGCATTCAAGTCTCTGGCTAGTACTACAATATCTGTCGAACGCACTTTCTGGAGAAGAACAGATAAATGGTGGTAAAACTCATCTTTGATTGCATCCGGGCTGCAATCTGTCGGGGCATAGGCGGAGATGACGGAAAGACATCGTTTCTCACGCCGATTTCTTCTCACTTTGATGGAACTTTCTAATCTAACAGCACATAACCGACTGTTAATGGGGATCCAATCGATTAGTGCTACCTCAGCTCTAGCGCTTAGTGCGACACCAACGCCAGCAAGACCAGACGAAGATGTCACAGGGACCCGGATAAGCGCACGTAAAACAAGCTTTTCGAAGCGACAGATGGAGAGCGAATTTGTAGTACTTCACCAGAGTCTTGAATACGGGTCTCGGATAGACAGAAAACATCGATATGAAGACTTTCCAAAGACATAGCCAGCCCTATCTGTTGTCCAACCTGCATAAGTGTGCGAACGTTGAAGGCAGCCAGTTTGAATGGAGCACGTGGTTTCAGAAAAACTGCTTCAGTACTCATATTCGGTGGTAACATACAATTTTCAACCGGACAGTGACTCGAGAACGTTTAGATACAGTCGGATTTCCACCATAGACAAGCTGCTGCATAAGTCGAAAAAACAAGTATAGACAGAGTAGGAATAAAGGATGGTGAATAATGACGTAGTAAATAATAATAATAATAATAATAATAATAATAATAATAATAATAATAATAATAATAATTTGAATGATTTGATTGTTAGTCGAAGCGAGAAATCTAGTTTCCATAGACGTAGAAAATTCATCATTTTTGTGTTGGCCGTGATACTTCTCGAGTGCCCAGACCGAAGCAGGTGGTTTTCTTAAGGGGCCACATCCCGAGCCTTTGACCTAAAAGTCTAACCCATAAAGGCAGTGGAGCATCGTAAGGAGATGCAGTCCCATGGTAGCCGGTGACCGAAAATTGGTTCATATGCCATTTGTTCCCGCAGGATACTGGAGCCCATGTGCACCATTGATTTGGTTTGGGATCCGGTTAAAGCGTCGGACATTCGATTTTCGTCCTCTCATTTTCGTGAACAACACCCCCACTTTAAGAAGGCAGTGAGTAGGAATTCCCTGGCAGAGGCTGTGTAAGCGTGGTCGTACCAGGGCATTTGGGGGCATGGGTGACGAACTGCAATATATATTGGATATCCTTCATTGAGAGCAACCCTAAAGTAAACATCCTACTATCAGAAACCTCACTGATGTAACAGAGGTCGATATTTAAATGAACCTTGGATATTAGAGCTAGATATGATAAACCGTAATCTGCAAGATACGCTGGAAGAAAATCATCGAATGTCTTGAAGAATGAGCCAGGATGACTGTCATATGGTGCTTGAAATGATGTGTGGTTGTTCAGACGAAGGTTATTTGTTCGATGGATAACAATACAGATGTTTTTTTACATAACTTCTGGTTGCACGAATTTATGGTGATCAGTGAATCTGGACTTCACCTTGCGTTTCTTATCCTGATAGTCATAGACTTCAAAAGTTAGGAGGATTTAACTGAACTCTACAGAATAAAGGTGTTACACTCAAAAATGCACTCCACTGTCAGTTGACCACGACCGACAACCCATGACGTAGGGCACCAACAGAAATCTTATTTAATGAACTGAACGTGGAGGTGAAAACTCGTATTAGTTGGTTTCCACAGAAATAGCTAGTTTACTCTTAACTGCAGTGTACTCACAACCATCAAAACAGTTGCTGCCTAAGAGGAAATTAGTGCCCTGAGAGTAATGTGAAGGGTATTAGGTGAAAGATGCGAAAAATGAGAAACTTGTTTCTAGTTCGAGATGAAGATCACAGTTCTATCTGAACCTTGTCTTTCCCCTGACTTCGCGGACGATTTGATAAAGCACGAAATGTATCATGTGTCATCGGTGAAGTAAAAGAGGAGGTAGACGACCCCCTGGTACGACCACGCTTACACAGCCTCTGCCAGGGAATTCCTACTCACTGCCTTCTTAAAGTGGGGGTGTCGTTCACGAAAATGAGAGGACGAAAATCGAATGTCCGACGCTTTAACCGGATCCCAAACCAAATCAATGGTGCACATGGGCTCCAGTATCCTGCGGGAACAAATGGCATATGAACCAATTTTCGGTCACCGGCTACCATGGGACTGCATCTCCTTACGATGCTCCACTGCCTTGTGGGTTAGACTTTCAGGTCAAAAGGCTCGGGGTGTGGCCCCCTAAGAAAACCACCTGCTTCGGTCTGGACACCCGGGCAGTATCACAACCCACACACAAATGATGAACTGTCAAATAAACTGAACATTCTGTGGAAAGTTAATAATATACATGTAAATTGAGAAAGGATTTATGTTTCATATTCAGTAAAACTAGCCTTTAGATGGTTATATAGGTTTTATGTTGGTCGGAAATTAAGGTCATCCACCAGTGAATATGAATTATTTGAGTGCGGGATAATTTTCTTCCCTAGTCTTGCTTAATTATCCATTGCATAACAGACTGTATTCAGTGTTACCCTTGGGAAAACATTATTTACTAAAAGTAATAACTTTATTCTATTCAGTGAAATAAACTAGAAATCAGATCCTAGGTATTCAACTACCTGTAATAATTATTCAGCTTTTAGCTGTTTAAAGTTTCATTAGTACAATGCAATATGACTATATGTCTGTCATAAAACATCATTTGATTATTCAGACGATCAGTAACATAGAATGAATAAAAGGCGTTGTTATAACAGATTCAGTTAATATTCCCACCGTTGTAGTCTAATTCTATGCTTAAATTATTATCCATCAATCAAACAGGAAACATGAATGACAATGATTCCAGTCAAAAAGAAACCAGCTAATCATGTCATGCAATTTCTATCAGAAATTAAACTCCACTACCAACTAATTATCCATCTATTTAGTGAAAAGATTGGTATTTGGTTGATTAGTCAACAATAAGAACTATAATGTGCCGCGTATATTAAGTAAAGGGTTACATACTCGGATTTGAGTCACACTAATTTGTGGAAGGAATAGTAATACTACCTAACTGACAAAACAGAAGTGGACTTAGATTCGAATCTGAAATCAACTGGTTGAAAAAACTGAGTGCTTTAATTACTAAGTCACAGAAATTCCTAGATTTTTTTCCTATCGATTACGAACCAGTATAAACTGAAATAGCCCGGTATATTAATAATGATTATACTTTAGTTTAGTACTTCCTCGAAATACAATTTTTAAGAATGCATGAATATCCTTAAATTTAAAGACGAATAAAATCACAATGTTATTGAAATCCACAACCCCACACTGAGAATATAACAAAATTATTGGACATCCTTACGTATGTATCTATAAAATAATATACAAAAGTAACCAGTAAATATTAACTTCCTCACGTGTCCCTCATCTGTAACAATCGCTATAGAAGCATAACTTAAGCCAGCTTCACGAGCTAAAGAAACTTCAGGAACTAACGTCATATTGATCAAATCGAAACCCCATTTTTGGAATAACAATGATTCGCAACGAGTTGAGAAACGTGGGCCATTAGTCGTAATTACAGAACCTTCAGTATGTACACACGGATGATTGCTGATTGTATCTGAACTACACGTTTTATCACGAATAGTCAGTGATAGATTTTTAGCTGCTTTGATTAGAACCTGAAAAAATGAAGTATACAAAGAAGTTGGTGATGAACTATCAAGTAAATTCAAACATTCCATTTGCAGTTTCATGATTTAATCAACTGCATAATGGAGACTAGATACTGACTGACTAATTATTATGTATGCTTAGAATTATTAACTACGAAATAAAACGAAGTACGATCAAACCATGAAAATACGCTTCAGTTAGACGGAATGCAAGGGTATGTTCGGAGGAATATTGAAACTGAAGATTAAGAGAAAGATAGAATAAATGTGTTTGCAATATTGCGAACGGGTTGATGAGAGAACTTTGACGGATAGTGTGGACTCACCCCCATACCTCAGACCGAAATTCAATGATTTTATGGACTAATGACACGTCTTGGGTTGGCGACCCATAGTTTCGTTCCATATTACTCCTACACCATTTAACATTGTACGTTAAAGTAGTACGCTATGTTTAACTACAGAACTCATTCATTCTGTGATATGTGAGTAATGCTATGAAAATACCTATGATCAGAAACTAGTTGTCTACGCATGTCTTTGATCATTATTTACAGTCTCAAAATACAGAGGAAATTGTTGTACAGTATACACGCGCTATGGTTAGCAGACGGACATTTCACCTATACCACAAGTGACTCACGTTGGCAAAGGTCAACTGAGCTATTCGAATCCGTGCTGAAATTTCCTCAGACACTAAACCACAAAGGCTGATGAAATTCCCAAGGTGAGTGGAGTAGTCAATATACTCAACTACTACAATCCTTACCATTCTATTAAGTGTTGACGCAAACTAGTCAAGAAGCAACACTTAGAATTTCGAAGGATAGAAACTCATCACGAACATGCTTACGTTTTTGCCCAAGGTGACCAATAGATTTTGAATTTTGTCAACGTCTTTACCAAATAGAACTGTATCACCTGTCTATTTTAAGTCCATAAGTAGTAGGACAGTAACCCCTGGAAAGTTAAGTGAGGTGCGATTTCATAAAATCTCCGGTCACTAAAAAGACACAAATAGTCCAGGAAACTTTATGGAATTTTGCTCTCTGAGTTGGATGGTTTGTCAGAGGTCTACTTGGAGTTTGCGCTGATGATGTCGTTCAGAATAACGATGAGAGCTCCACCATCAAACCATCCCGATCAAAGAACAAAACTCCATCAAAATCATCCACCTGAGCTACAAATCTTCTCTACCACTCCAGGAAACCTATATATTTCCCAGAAACATGAGAATATCCTGTGACTAACATTGTTGTTTGTTAAATGTAAATAGAATTCATTGTTATATACTATTGTTAAGTTTGTTCTTATTCACTGACCTTACTCTCCTTCCGTCAACCCTCTTTTGTGTATTGTTTCCTACTACTTATTACTATTCAGTAAACAGTTGTGTTTTTGGCAATTTCAACGCGCAAGTTTAACGTTTAACATTCCATAATATATACATACACTTATAACACTTATTGTATTTATCACTATAATCAATTTCTTTCAACTCTTATAGCAGTTATTCGCAACTTTGCATAGTCGTTTAATTCTGTTTAAACTCAACAGTTTCCATATTGTTCGCTCTTGGTTGTTGATTAACTGTTATAAGTTACAGCTATCTGCTGTCGTTTGCATTATCGTATGTTGTAATTATTCCTTATGTTGTTATTGCAGGAAGACCTTTGTAGTGTCAGTTATTATGGCAACCCCATATACCTTATTCTAACTTCCGGACATCCTATTTTATTCATTTTACTTGAGCCATATTTTGACCTTGTCAATTATTCGCTTGTCAGTCTTGACTGTTTTTTATATGAGAGTATATGAGTGTACATTTCATGTCACATGATTCATTGTATGTCTGTAGCTTATTTTGTCTGCCTATAAATACTGAGTAACGCTTAATTAAAATGGAGTTGGCTTCCCAGCCATCTTCCATACAATCTAAAATGGGATTCGAGAACAAAGGGCCCCTAAACCTTTTCATTTCAAACTCACAGAAGCGCTAGGCGTCACAGATACCTCACAAGTTGATTTTTGTAACTAATTTATGTATATCACTCAACAGAGAACCGCTTTTTAGGCAAATCGTCGTTTTGTGAAATTTGATTTCGCACGTATCTCATTCGTGTGATTAGACGCTTCGATAGATTTAACAACTGTTAAAAAACATTTGAACGTTGTTTAACATTTTCAATCCAAGCAGAAGAACCACCAGCACGTGACAGGATCTTATAACATAAACATCCAAAAAGCACCACTGAAGACAAACCATACAAGGTTGTACAGTTGTGAAGCTTAGTGCCAAAGTAATAAAAACTATCTAGACCAAACAGCTAACATCTCCAAGTGAATTAAGTTAACCCTTGACTAGAAACACGAAACGAGTCTCTCTAGTTAATTATCCAAAAACTCACCTGACGTGTTTCTTCACAAAATGGGTCTGCCATCGGCATATGTAAGACTCCTTTCAGTGAACCAGGCCCACTTCCATAAAACGTAAGCTCTCGATTTCGAGTATTATCGTAAAACTGGTTAAGAACAACGAAATCACCAGGTTTTTTGTCTTTCTGAAGACTACCACAAGCGTTAGTGGCTAATATGTGAGTACACCCAAGTTCTTTTAACGCCCAAATGTTGGCCCGATAATTGATCTCACTTGGCGGAAGTAAATGTTCCTTTCCATGCCTGCAAGACAAAAGTGATTAAGTCATTCATAATCCATATTAGTGTTATCGAACAGAGAAGTCGTTAGCTTTCATCACGCAAAAAAATACCTATACACTAAGAACTAACATTCATTTCAATAACATGTAAGTTTAGGTGTAAATATTTTTAAAGGTTTGTGTAGAGTTCTAAAGATCCAGCATAGATAATCGTTGCATTCAGCTTCAAAATACCTTTGTAATTATACATGAATGATCACAATGACTTATACATCCAGCGTTTGAAGATGCTGATGTAATTTTCTGTGCAAACATTTCTCGGAATTAGACTATTTAGCTAGCTTTCCAAAACTGTTTGGCATGATGTTGCGGATAATTAGTTTTTAATAAATCGAAATCAATATGATGTAATAGGGACTTATTCAAAAATGAAACATCGATTTGAGTGGCGAATATCTAGCAAATATTGGAAATAGATTCACTTGATCAAAGACCACGAATTATGTTGGACTGATAATATTCAGTTGACGCTTGATGGTCAGGTATACAGACAGTTCACTAAAAGGGAGATCCAATAACTGGTTAGTTCAGCATACATTTTGCATACCGAATTCAGTACAAATGATAATAGCTCTCTAGTTGGGCACTAATCAAAGTCATTAAGTATTCACATGGCTAACCTTACTAACACCAATCTTCCTGAAAAATTTAAACATATATAGTCAGTCGGCAAAGTCATTTACAACTAAATGTGCACGAATATTAATGTGTACCATTACGTTAAACAATTAAAGTAGTGAAAGAACTTGGACCTAACAGTTCTGAAGATTCAAAAAGAATTATAATATTATTTTTTCTAACTTAAATGAAAATATTTGCCACTTAAATTACACAGCTAATGTTTGGATGTAATTTTTATTCATGTAAAGTGCTTCTACAAGATTGATAAGAGATTCGGTGAATAATTGTCATAGATGGAAAAAAAGCAGTTTCATATAACAACAGCCAAAATTATTTATGGTAAAGTGCGCCAGCTTTTGTGCTATTAAACGATCAGTGTTGCGTCAAAACGTTGTAGTGCGAGTGGTTCTGATCAACCTTTGTTAAACCTGGTATTTTCGAGCTGAAGATGTTAGAATAATGGGCTAACTTACAGTATACAACCGAACCAATGAAAAAAGAGGTAAGTTGTGAAACAATTATCAAAATAAGGTTAGGAATTTGTATTGTGAATTACAATTGAGTGTTAGGGTTGAGATTTTCATCTCAAACTGACGTAAACTACAATGCATGAATCCTAAAAGCATATCCTGATCCTACTCGTCTCATAATAAGTCATTCATTAACCTTCGGCATCTCCTAAATGGCCGAAACGGTTAGCACCTCAACGTCGTTCAACAATATACTTCAGGTTTACTGAATACTGTTTGAACTGACCGTTGATGTACTCACAGGATTGTTCACATTCGACAAAAATACCGTATAATTAATGTAAAGGTTCGGTGACTTCTTTCTGGACAAAGTCAAGATCTGATAAATTCCTATATTGTGAATTAAAACAATATATATAAGTAAACAATATTGTTTTCGATTACATCCTAATCAGGCATTGCTCTAATCTACAGTAATTTTTATATACATATATGAAATTATTAAACCAATCAAGGCAGTTAGTTGATGTCAGTGATAACAGTTGAATAATGTCTGATTAGGATGTAATCGAAAACAATATTGTTCGCTTATATATGTTGTTCCAAAGTCAAGGTCATTACATAACATGTAATATTTCAAAACACCACTCTTGATGACTTTGATAAAACTCTACAGATCGTGACTCGACAATTTTCATAAAAAGGACTATCTAGCTGCCACTAGGACTGATTGGGAAAAGAGGTGATCAGTAGTTAATTTCATGTTTTCCATAAACTGTAAAGTGTACTTCGATAGCAGTGTAAATTACTTAGCATCCTTTATTATTTCTATTATTTTTATTCTTCAACCCACATTTCCACATTAAGATGCTGTCACTTCGTTTTGTGTGGCATATTTCTTTACTATTAATAATGCCGAGCATTTTTAGAGTGATAAGTAAACATTATAGGTAAATATTTACATGATTTCTAACACTAGTTTTTCCGACATGAAGTTGGTCACTCAGGCATCCGATTAGTTTGATTTAAAACCCAGGCAAGCGTAAAACTGGCAATAAAAATACTACACGAATGAATATGCGGGTCAAAAGATAGTAGGAAATGTAGGTAGGTATAAATCGGCTTAAGATGTCCTATAACTAGATAAGGCCAACATCTAGTCACTTTGAAAAATAGTTTAGAAAACTTTGAAGAGTGGATAATCGATTCTAACAATAAGTTATTTTGGTGTTTGTACGCGATCGTAATTGACTTGTACATGGCTAAGTGTTTTATTCTAGTTCTAATACACATTTATGGTCTTCTCATCCTTATTCCCTGGTCCAATGACAGCTACTAGAGTACGTCTAGGACAGGTCTGGGATGGATTCAATACAATCGCTTAATCTAGTCAAATGAATGTGTCACAGACAAATCACTTTTGTGAAAGATGATTACCTGGGAAGCACAACACACGGGACGCCTTCAACAAAACCTTCAGTAAGAAAACTTGATGGGTTTCCGAATGGAGTAGTTACTGTTCGCACCTTTGCTTCTTGTAATAAATCTGGATCGTCGAATCCAGAACCTCCAATAATTCCAACCTGATATGCAAACAACAGTAAGAATAACTGCATTTTAGATAGGGTATGTCTGAAGTTTTATCGAATATATTTGAAAATAAATTAACACAACTGTAGATCGTATTAAATTATAAATCTACAAATTGTGGAGATCTGTTAAAACCAAATATTTATCATCGACACAAACCATGAGCTTTTAGAGAAATATGTAAACACAAAATTTTTAATAAAGACGTAAAAATATATCGAAGTTTTGTAACTCATTTAAATGAGACAGTTTACCCAATAATCATCTTTTAAACTTACCATATACCTGGTAAAAAATATAAGTGAAAAATCCACAGAATATCATTTCGACAACCGATAGCTTTCCCAACCTTTCGAAGAATATGATACTATTTTTACTAAGATATAGATATGCCTTTCTCAATTAGGTTTACCCAATTGCTTATTTGAAAATATAATCCACTAGAAACCAACCTCATATATATTCGTCAAAATTTACATTCGTTCAAATATTTGTCTCGAGATTTTATTGACACCACTTTCAAGTCATATCCTGACACCGTCAGCATGAAAGAAAGCTGCAAAGGACTGGCTTGTGTTGGTCCTTCACGACTCCCTGGTTGGGGTCCGAGAGATGGTGCTACACAATGGTTAGAGACGTTATCAGATATGGCTCAGAATAGAAGCCAGTGGCGATCCTACTGTAACCTTCTTTTACTTTCTTCGTAAAAAGTGGTTGTATCTTCCTTAACTGAAAGATTTCTTCTGATTGTACCTTTCCGTTCCCCCATTATTACTATTATTATTAATACACTAACTTACACCAATCTCTTCGTTATCGTTCTCATTTTTTTAACGCTCCTTACCTTTTTTATTTTTCCTTCTCTTTAAATTCTCATTGTTTTGTGTGGCGCATATATATTTGGCGCACTCTTGTACCAATATTTATGTGTTCAAATAAATAAATAAATAAATAAAAATCAAGTAAGGACACCAGACGTCTGTAAAAACTAGACAGCTGTTTAGCTGACTGTGACAAGATGTTATAGTACTTAGTTTCAGATATAACTAGTGTCCAGTATTGTGTTCCCACAAACAGGAAAGCATGGAGTTGCAAACCGTAAAACAGTCCACATGGTGCCACACGGACTTTTGATGCCAACCTTAAGGTGAAATGAACTCGGCGAAAACAACCTCATAAAAACGCGTGACCCGCCTGAGGCAACAGTAACCGTTAAGTCGAATCATAAAAACTAACAGCAAGTAAAACTTTGCATCCGTAGTTTATGCTAAATTTTACATTTCTAATGAATGCCTCGGATTTATTATATACAAAACCCAGTAAAACCAGGTCTTTTAAGTGTTATTGAGGGTTCGACAGGCTGTTTCAATATGCTACTGTGTAAAAGACATAGTGATGACAGCCCAGTTGCTACATCAATGATTTTCGCGGTATATTTCAGTAACCTTATAACTTAGGAACGAATTGTTTATTCGTATGCTAGGTTCTGAGCCAGTTCTGTGTGAGTCAACGACAACACCCGGCTGTATCACATTTGATATTTGGCCCACAGACCGCTCCAGCTATAGATTTCATATTCTTAAATCCTTTTCTTTTCCTCTAACCAGTAATACCCAAATTCACTGAAAGAGCCTGAAGAACGAAATATTTTAATAACATGTTTTTCCCTGTTGGTTTTCTGCTTTTGTTAGTCTCCTTATGGTTCAAAATTTCACTCAGTAATCTAATAGGAGTGGGATAAATGGAACATTATTGCTAAAAACATTTTTCCTGCGCAGAAGTTTTATGAAACTTAGCAGTTGAGGAGGTCATGATGGGCTTTGAGACGATAGATACTTAAATCAATATATCTTTCGCAGAAACAGATGGTCTGATTTGTGGTGCTCATTCCTAACTAGTAAGTACAGATAAGCGGATTGCACATAATCCTTCTAGTACGTAGTAACGTAGAAATTCGGTTGCTTCTTAAAAGCATCAAAAAGTGCCAGGCACTAAATGTTCAAAACAAATATCCAGGTTTAAATAATTGGATCACTGGTTTTTGGACTTCGTAGGGTGTTTTTATAAGTCATCATTCCGAAATGGAATGTAATAAAAAGTGCACATTTTTCAGGAATATTACACCCAAAATATAAATATCTACCTTGAATATTTAAACAATATGACCATAAGTGTAACATATACGCGAAATTGTTATTTCGAAAATTATGTAAGATCGAAATCATTTGTCACCTTTTGACTTATAAGATAAAAGATCCAGTTTGTTTGGTTGTTCTAGTTTACATTTTTGACATTTTATGTAGAGTTTGGTCCTGGAATGACTAAGTGTATAGCTAACAAGAGTATGAACACCCCAAACTCACATACGCGATGCTTTCTAACTTGAAATAAAATATTTTATCGTTGGTTACCAATATTGAAACTATATGATAAGTTTAATGTGTGTACGATACGCCATATGTATAACGACACAATCTCCTGATATCTATTCTGTTTAATTTTAAACCATGTAACTACATAGTACTACGGACGCTGGTATGTACGCTACATATTAATATCTTCAGTTCCCAATGGTAACAATAGGTTTATACACTTATATTAATCCTAGAAATTTGTAACAATGTGGGGTTCCGATTACACTTTGAATGTATCAAAAAAAGGTGCTGATATTACGCGTTCCAGTAGAGAATTCCAGTAATTCACTACTTGGTGCGAGAAACAGAACTCAAGACGTAAACGATCTGATCTCGGCTTTTCAAATTCCTTAGAATTTCCTCTCAAATGACCAGTCCTAGATGGAAGGAAACGATAAGACATTACCAAGATCGTCGCTCAGTGTACGACAAGCGAACATTAAATCACCCTGTACTTACTTACTTACTTACGCCTGTTACTCCTCGTGAAGGAGCATAGGCCGCTCACCAGCATTCTCCATCCAACCCTGTCCTGGGCAATCGTTTCCAGCTCCTTCCAGTTGTAATTCATCCTTTTCATATCTGCTTCTATTATCCGACGTAATGTGTTCTTTGGCCTTCCTCTTTTCCGCTTCCCTTCAGGATTCCAAGTTAGGGCTTGTCTCGTGATACAGTTTGACGATTTGCGTAATGTATGTCCTATCCATTTCCATCGTCTTCCTAATTTCCTCTTCAGCTGGAAGTTGGTTTGTTCTCTCCCACAGAAGGCTATTGCTGATGGTATCTGGCCAATGGATATCACCCCGTAACCTGTCGTAAAACAGTGGGAATAGGTTGGAGCGTCGCAGACTATTTTCATAAGATAGGCTAGAGAATGCGACCTCATAAAAGTCGGGCATAATACCCCGAAAATTTTTTCGTCTTAGTACTTAAATGACTTACAAATAGCCCACAAGACCTCTGAAGCCTTTAGCAGAGTTAAATAAAGAGGGACCTAAGTTTGAACCAAGACGTACGAACTTGACTAAAGAAAAAGAAGTATGAATAATTGCATAGTGAATTATAGGTAACTATCATTAAATCAATGACTTCCAGGAAAATGGGAAATCTCATGGGTTTTATTGAAAAACACAAATACCTTCGAAAAACCTAACCTCCTTATTTTGGGGTTTCTGTGCTATTCCCCAAAATAGAGAGGTTTGGAAATATTTGTGAAAAACTGACACTGTGGAGAATTTCTTATTATTATTTACGCGCTCTATTTAGAAGGACAGTGGTATTCTTTCACGTTGAGTTAATTAACTGTTTTGATCGTAAATTACGCATCAAAACTACTGTTTACACTTTAATTGCATCTACCCCAGTTAAAGTGATATTGTATTGAGTTTTTCGATTTTGCTTCTGTGTATTTATTGCATCGAAGCATACTTGGTCGACTTTTACTTGGTTTATTTAGTTAAGGTTTGAGAATCCTTCTACATATCCTGTTTTCGTCACCGTTCTAGTTGATTTTCAAGATGGCTAGGTCTACTCATAAATGTGGACAACCATACTGCTTATTTCCCGTGGATGAAGGGATGCAATGTGATGAGTGTAATAAGTGGTTCCATAAGATGTGCACCCGACTAAGCCCCACTGCATATAAAAGGTGTTCAAAGCCCAACTCTCATTGGCTTTGTAGTTTTTGTTGCTCGAGCAAAACTTTGCTTATCCAGGAAGCAATTAGTCTCCTGGTGTTGGCTAATAAGAAGGTTGATGAGGGCTGTACTGATAACATTGGTACTGATGGCGAAGATTGCGTTAGTGTCGTAAGTGCTATCACGGCGCAAGCCAGACATCTACCTGTGCAACCCACAGTTAAACGTTCTCCCCCGAAACGATCAGTGAGTGACACGTCATTAGACGTTGGTGGCCATATTGCTACAGCAGCAACCGGTGACCCAGATAAAACAATTACTGTCCCGAGTTGTTCTAATGTAGACGTTTCGACTTATGGAAAATGGGTGACGCGAAAACGCAGAAGAGTAGGAAAGATAGCTAAAACCAATGACTGTTTACTTGGTAAGTCCTTGGTGGACTCTCAGACCAATCCGCCAAAGTCCCATAGTAAAGCTTCGTCTGACATTGTTGTGAGTCATTCGCTTGACTCCCAGGACTCTGTTAAAATGAAAACTAATCGTAAGATACCAGTAGTTAAAATACAGGATCTAACATCACGGTCGAAAGCTGTGAACACAGTTTCAAAAGAAGCTAAACCCCTCCCTAGTTTAATTATTTGGAATCTAGTGGAGTCGAAAGACAACGACCCTGCTAAAAGACATGCACATGACCTGCAGTTAGTGGAGTCTGTGGTAAGGAATGTACTACCAGAAGAGGTTTCAGGGGTACATATTACAAAAGTAATACGACTTGGTAAATGGATTGGAGGCGAGACCCAACCAAGAAGGATCCTGAAGCTGGTTCTCGGGAGTTTTGAAGAAAGAGACATATTATTGAAAAGCGCACTAAAAACTCGTGCCTCAAATATCCGTATTCGACCAGATTGGCCGCTTGAGGATCGAATCAAGTAGAAGAATGCTCTTACGGAGTTTAGGACTCGCAAATTAAATGGCGAAAATAACCTCACCATTAAGGATTTTCGGGTAGTCAGGTCTTGGAAGTCAATGCTTCCGAGGCCTGTATGGGTAGAACGATTGATTTCCAAAACACCTTAAGTGTGTGCTACACGAACGCTCGTAGTCTTAGAAATAAAACGTCCGAGCTAAGTCTGATGGTGCAAGAATTATGTCCCGATATAATCGTTATTACAGAAACTTGGTTCACCGTTGATATAGACTGTCCTCCTTTCATTGCTGGTTATATCTGTATCAGAAGTGATAGAGTTTCAAGTCGCAAAGGAGTAGGTATAATATTATACGTTAGGGATCACTTTCGTATACAATCAACCATATCGGAGGCTCATATCAGTGGCACATGTGAGGTTGTATGTTGTAAGATTAAATCTAGAAATGGGTATATACCGTAGTCCGTCTTGTCTTGCTGACGACTTTATCCTAAGACACATCTGTTCTTGGAGTATGGCAGAATGTTGTCTCATCGTTGGGGACTTCAACGCACCGCATATCAACTGGATAGAGCTTACAGCTCCAGGTAGTGGTTTCGATAGCGACCTTTTATCTACCGTTATTCAGTGTGCACTTGTACAATGTATCACAAAACCGACACATATTGATTTGCAACATGTTCCGTCACTGCTGGACCTCGCCCTCACCCACCACTGTGAGGATGTCTTTGATATCCAGCACCTTCCTCCACTAGTGAACAGTGATCACGTTGTAATTCACTTTAAGTTTAGGACACATGGTATACAATTCGTATCTGCTCCACCCCGTCCCAATATCTGGCGAGCTAATATTCCGGAAATCAGAAACTGTGCTACCTCGACTGATTGGTCGGTCGACGCGGATGGATTTTTCGAAGATGAATGGAATAAGTTTAAGGCTACATTCGAGTCCGTAACGTCCCCGTTTATCCCATGGTCAGCACGTAAGCTATCACATTGCCCTCCATGGATTAATAAGGAAACCCGGAAGCTGTTAAAGCGTAGGAAACATTTCTGGTACTTATTCTTGTTGACAGGTCATGCACCATTTAAGCGTGAGTACCAAAAATACCGTAATATCTGTAAGAAAACCATAGCTAAATCCCGTACCACTTACGAACGACAGTTAGTATATGATAGCCGTACTTGTCCGAAACGATTGTTTTCGTATGTTAAACGGCAAATGAAACGTAGTGATGGTATTCCCCCGTTACTGTTACACGAAAATTCAGAATTACTGGCTGAATCAGACTACTTTAGCGAAGTCTTCTCTACGTTTATCGTAACAAATACTTGTCCCACTCACACCGAGATACCAACCATTGAATCTGTACAGGTGACTGAGGAAACTGTCCTTCAGTTGATAACTATCCTCAAACCTGGTAAGATACCGGGCCCTGACGGGTTACATCCACGGTTGCTGTCATCTCTTGCGGACATTATTTCAAAACTGCTTGCGACACTCTTCAACATGTCCCTCTCACTCGCTCAACTCCCTAGAGATTGGAAGGACGCTATAGTTAGTCCTATATTTAAAGACGGTCAGAGACAGATAGTATCTAACTACCGGCCTGTCAGTCTAACTAGCATAGTCGTTAAGTTACTCGAAAAGATAATTCGGGTCAGGTTGCTAAGCCACATAGATTTACACAATCTGTTAGCTCCTGAGCAACATGGATTTCGTAACACGCGTTCATGCTTGACTAACTTGCTTATTGCGAGGGAGGATTGGACAGCAGCCCTAGATCACGGTCTGTCTGTCGACGTGATATTCATAGATTTTAGCAAAGTGTTTGATAAGGTTTCACACGTAGGTCTTATGCAGAAGCTCACGAGCTTCGGAATAATAGGTACTGTACATGAGTGGATAGGAAATTTCTTATGTGACCGCAGACAGAGAGTTAGGGTCAATGGAACGCTATCCGATTGGAAGCCGGTCAAAAGTGGTGTACCTCAAGGCACCATCTTAGGCCCTTTGCTCTTCCTTCTCTACGTCAATGAGTTACCGCTGTTACTTAGGTCGTCGACATTATTGTTTGCGGATGACGTAAAAATCTGGAGAACAATAAAAAGTGCGGCTGATCATGTGGATCTTCAAGCTCGAGAGTGGGGCTTAGAAATCAATGCTAGGAAGAGTGTACTAATGCATATAGGTCACGGTAATAGTTACCGTTACACTATTGAGGGTAAACCTCTTCCATGCGTTCAAGAGCATAAGGACTTAGGAGTAATATTAAGTCATGATTTAAAAACAACTGCGCATTGCAAAGCAGCCGCCGTCAAAGGTTTTCGTGCGTTATGGTCACTTCGCCGAGCGTTCAAATCTTTTGACGAGGAAACGTTTCGAATTTTATATCCCATATATGCTAGACCACATTTAGAGTACTGTATCCAAGCAGCTAGCCCGTGTCTGGTAAAGGATACTAACTCCCTTGAGCGTGTCCAGCGTGTGGGAACGAAATTAGTGAAGGGTCTTTCTAGACTCCCTTACGATGAGCGCTTAAAACGCCTAAATCTTTTCCCCTTGTCGTATCGTAGGACACGAGGTGACCTTATACTGGCATTTCGTATCTTTAATTATGAGTTGGGTGTTAATATGTCTTATCTTTTTGCTCCCTCCAGCACTAATAATCTCCGAGGTCATAGCAAGAAGTTTCGTAAACCACGATCTAATAAACTTAAAGTGGGATCCCGTTTTTCTCATCGAGTAGTCAATCATTGGAACGCATTACCCGAACAAGTGATATCAGCCCCATCAGTGAATACTTTCAAGGAAAAGCTGGATCTTCACTGGAAAGCAATGTGTCAGAATTAACACAGGTTCATCAACCTACTATCCTTATTACTGAAGACTGAAAAGCTAAGAAAGCTGGGGTTCAGTCGAAGGACAGAAATAGATTTCTCCAAAGTTTGGAAAACTTTGTGGATATACTAGGGAAAAACCAAGAAATTCAACCATTTGGTTAAAGCGTGTTTTGGAATTTTAGTTGACGTCATTTCGAAATAAAAACCTTAAATCTAATTTTTAACTCAAACCATCAATTGTAAATCATAATTCTTTAACGTCCCTCAAAGGTCCCCCATAAATTAGTCTCACCGAAAACATACTGACTGGTCAATGAGTAACATTACATGCATAAAACATAGCTCACCTTAACTTCCGACATTTAGACTAGACACGTAAATGAAGGACCTGGGAAACAATTGTCGTTCACTGAGAGGGGTTGCGAGCACTTGAAGGTCAAACTGTCGCAAAATGATTGGTGCGTCACATCGACAATTCGTGAAAATTTTCAGAAGCGGTCAAATCAAGACATTTTTAGATTTGAATTGAGTTGTCACACTATGTCTGATAACGTTCATTCTTCAAGTAACGAAGACGATTCCATCGTGATGATGCCATGATATAGGACGAATCTTCAATGATATTATGTTATCTCGAAGATTTACAAGTTGGGACAATTTTGAGACCTGTTTGAAAGAAGTACATAAGGTAATATGACCTCTGTGGTTAATAATTATTTTTTTAGTGTACGCATACTAAGTACGTTATGTCAGTATGCAAAAAGAACAGTGATGATCCAACTCTAAAGCACTTCGTGAGATATGTCTGTACATATGGACGTAAACGTAGTTTGTCAGAGTCAGACGCTCGCTTTCAGGATGTAGATGATGATATTAATCACCGTTCTTCTGAAGAGCATACGACTTCTAACTCGCCAACACAACCTAGGCAAAAGAGACGACGTCGGTCATCTACTTATGCCTTACTTCAAAGGAATTTATCATTCAGGTCGAAATATTGCCACTGTCAATCAGAATTTTGGGTCCGGGCAGTAAATGGTGAGTTCAAACTCACCTCTATTAAAACCGTGCACAACCATCCTTGCACAGAAGGATATATTTCTGTCGATCCATCGAAACGACAGTTGACCTCAAGTGAACGCTTGTATTTAAGAACGTTTCTACTGAGTAATACACCAACTCGTAGCTTACGGTATCTGGTTTCTTTGAAGTTCAATAAACAGCTTACCAAGAACGATATCGCCAGAATGCGTTCACAGTTATACCCAGGTTGTTGAACTCACATTGTAATTAATTGAGTTTATACACTAAAAATATCAATGACATCTTACAGCGTGTTAAAGCGAACACTGAACTAAAAATATTGAATGAAAATGGGAACATATCTATAATTTACTTTAGCTTCAGGGAGCAAATTACTGTTTACCACGCGTTTCCGGAGGTAATATGTATTGATTCGACTTATCAGACCAACAAAGTTGGGTAAGTAACGATTAGTAATAAATTTATCTTAAAGTTTTCCACTGTTCCAGCTAGTGGTGACTGATAGTCTTGGACAAAGGCAGACTGTTATGTATGCTCTCTACAGTCAAGAACGACGCGAAGATATCGAAAAGCTATTGGAATGTTTTAAAGATATAATGTGCGGTACTTATGATACACGCACTTTTGTTATGGATTCAGCAGCGACCGAAATTTCAGCTGTGAAGTTTACGACAGTCATTCTAACATAATACTTTGTTCATTCCATGTCTTAAGAGCATTTCTCAGAAAGGTGTGTGTTAGCTGTGCAAATTATTTTCTGTAGTTCCGAAATCCTGATGTACGCAAGTGCTTGGAGCAGCTTGTGAAGACGTATTTCGACGTAGCAACCGGTGGACTAGAAAACACATAATGGACCTGGTTCTTCGTGCGCTGAACGACATGTCAATCTCTACAGGGAATGATGATCTGCTAGAGAAGTTCACTAACAACTACCACTCAATCCATGCTCTTATTGAACCTTTGGCAAGTAAACTCATCCGTTCATGCCTCGAAGCATCAGAAGACATATGCGCACAATTGATGAGTTCAGTCGGTGCTAATGATGAAGCTACAACGTCAGAATCCATTCTTGATAACAAGAAGTTCTAATATTGTAATCTTTTTAGTTTTACATAAATTCATTTATATGGCCATTGACTTGTTCTTATAGCGTAACGGCAGGGAGTGTACTGTGCAGTCTTATGTGACTGTTAGACAAAGATGTTGTTTCGCGTTCTTGTGTTATAATTACCAGTTTGGCGCACACGCGATTAGTCATACATACCGTTTACCAAATACTGCTACCTTGAACATGGTGTACCGTACTAGTAGTTCGAATTTCGACCTGTCACGATAGATAAGAATTGCCGAAATTAAGAGACTGGTGCGTTATAAGTGAAAACGTTTATTAAAGTTTGGATCTAGCACAAATGATCCATTAATAAATAACTTCTATTGCTTAGGAATTGTTCCCGTTAGGTCTGTGAACACTTGCGAAGCTAGCTGGAAATAAGATAGACAGGAAAGTTATTACAGTATCAATGTTTACCAGAAACTAGTATAAAAACGGAAACCAGTATTCAATTACAGATCGGAAGTGCATTTAGCACACCCTTCCTTTGGATAGTCAATCACGCTTATTTCCTTTATCTCTTGCGTTACTAAGGAAAGTCTGGGTCACAACATACACGGATTGTATTAATTCTTTGGGCAGGTTGCACTTCGGAAACTTAGACGATGAACATATATAAAGACTACTGTGTGACTTTACTTTGAATCGTCCTATGTAACCTGCAATTCTTGATGCATATTCTATTCTAGTCCCACGTAAGTTATGAGTAATTGTCATTTACTGCATCAGCACGTAAGCTAGACAGGCCTTGGTTGATTTCCGAAGATCATCACATAGGATCTCACACAATCTGGTCACCTTAGATCAAGATATCTTGACTATCGAATCGTACTTTTCAGTGCTTTCTCGTGACAGCTTTATATCAGTACTTATTTCTGCTATTAGGTATTTTCGCAATAATACCGGCAGGCAAAACATTGTAGCTCCCCAGACAACCCAAAAAGGGATAAATGCTTTGGTAGCGAAAGGGAAAAACGCATCAGAATGTCGCCGTTTTGTCGATAAATTACTCACTTCGCCTAAATATCCGCCAAATTACCGAATTTTCGCCTAACTGTCCGCAGATTTGTCTACTTTTCGCCTAAATGTCTGTTGAATTGTTTACTTTTCGCCTAAATACACACAGAACTCCCTATTTTCCATCCATTGACATGACCCTAAAGGTCTCCTATGTTCGCCTTTATTTTCAACAACAGACCAAAATAAATCTGCAATACAGTGGAAAACCGGCATATTTTTGAAAATTTTTATTTAAAAGGTAAAGCCTATTATTGTACAACACTAGAGCAGAAGCTCAAGCATCGATTGTTTTGCATATCCAATGCAATTGCTAATTCATTGTTATTTGAAATTATCTGCAAAAGAAGAAACACGTGATGTATTATTTATAAGGAATGTGCATTTATTCAAAAGTTCACTGACGCTCAAGCACACATTCTCAACACTTCTACAGTTTCCCAAGTAAGTAAAAAAGTAAGCTGTTTGAAAAATAATATTTATTGAAATGTAAGTAGAACATCAAAACAATTGCACGGCTATTGAGAATTGAGGTAGTCGTCCCGTGAATTCTGAATTTAAAAAAAGAAAAAAGTCACAACCATATCTCAATGACATGCTTTGGTACAGTCAAATACTTGTGTGGATCTACACAAGAGGTAGTAATGCTATCTTAGCTTGGTCTTTGGTAAAATCCCCATATAATTATATCACTACCGCATGATTATGATTTAGTTCGTGCAATACAATCATCCGGTGGCTAATATATCTAACTGTAGGAGGTGATATTAACATCTTAAGATATGTGATATTATCATCTATAGCATATACATAATATTTACAACACCCAGGACACCTTATGTTTTTACTATAAACCTATTTCTGCCATAAAAGTCTAACAAAACAGTGAAAATCAGCAGAAATTGTGATAAAGATGGGGAAAAACGACAAATCTTACCATGGTATCGTTAGTTGTAACGCAGTTTGGCAGCCTTGACGACAATACAATTTTTATGACGAGATATGCTTGGATCATGCTGTTTCATATAAAAATAAAAGATTTGTCTACCATCAGTGTATACATAAGTAGAAATAATTGCTAATCTGAGATGCAAACACCGAAAAATTATTATAGCAGCACCTGATTAATGAATTTTCAAGGACTTCGCGATACCATGTAACACAAAATGGAGAAACCCCTTTTTACCTAATTATGAAAACGGAAATTAGACTTTCAAATTTATTCATAATGTATTTAGAAATTTGGTTGTGCACAAAGCAGAAATGAAAAAGTAGCGCAAAAAAGTGTCGCGATACCCCTGGAGCGCTGCCCGTGTTATCCGTAACTGCCATTCGTAGACCCGCTAACCACTAACCAATCAAATAAATGTGATAACAGTGAGTCCATATACACCATCTTTTCGATATCTAATATATTTGTCACTAGATTGTGTAAACTTGTGGACTCTTAATTCACTTCTTGTTGTTTCAGAACGGTTACAGGTATTCGATAATGTCCAATCGGTGGTAGTCTGACCTATTTACCAGACCCACTCTAATTTTTGTGGTATACATTTGTGAATTTTTATATCTTGTGGTTGAGTGAATGTATTTGTCTTAGAGTAATAGGGTTTCTGGATGTCATTTGCTACCACATTACCAGTCGGCAGATTGATTGTTTGGTTGCAATGTAAAAATGACAAAACAATTTTAATGTAATAATAAGACGATTGCCTCAATAATAAATATCTTACTCGACTTGTAATATGTAGGAAGACGGAATCAAAGGAATAATGGAGAATGCAGTGGTGGTAGTTAGGGAGGTATAAAATATTCACTGATATGTGCTAATGACGACCGTGTTAATGTATGAGACATGCATCGGACAGTGTACCTGGATGTTCCTAGTTTACTCCTTAGTCCTGGAGTGATCTACTTTTATGAAGAGAACACGACTGATGTAATGGGAACATTTATTACGATTGCCAACCGTACAAGTGATTGCTTTACTGCACCTTTTTGTTTAATTGTACCAAAAACACACTTTTCCGTTGTTTGTGACCTTGAACTTATTGACGTGAGCACGGTAGTTCCACCTGTAAACTTTGTCGCGATCTCAGTATGTGTGAAAACTTGTGATGTGAAAATTTGATTGCTACGAGAAGACCGTTTCACGGAATAAATAATTACGAAAGTTAACCGACCAGTATT